GATTATAGCCACATCATGTGGCATGTGTTAGCCTTAATGTTAGGTCACTATATACTCGGTAGTACTATATAATTACTATTTATATAATTACTTATTAATATATAAATTACTCATCTATGTCACCGGCTAATGACCGGTGAAACAAAAACGTGACGAATTGTATTTTTATCATGCAATCTGCAATGACAGGTCGGAGCAAATCCTCTGTTAGACGCACGTATGCTGATTGAAAATATATATTGGTGTTGGCGGGTGACCTGTTAGGTGGGAGGAGAGAAGATAGACGGACTGACAGACAGAAAAACAGACTCGCACTTTCTGTAAAATTTTGCCTAAATTGTTTTTGGCCTAAAATGGTCGTGGCGTCATGCTGACTGCAACATGCTGGATGCGACATGCTGAGAGTGAGAGTGCTAACGACAAACACTGAGTGCATGCATGCGGGAAAAATAAGCAGCTAGGATTGCTGTTAACTTCTGTTTTATACCTATATGGTAGTGCGTCTACGACGCTTCATGTCTCCTTCGAAGCTAATAATTCAGTTATTGTTGCTGTAAACTGTAATTGGACAACACAGCTACAAAAAACAACCTCGAAAATTCGAGAATGCAGCAAGATAGTATATATAGCGCCACCGCGTGGACATTTATTAAAATTTGACATTTCTTGTATTTTTTGTATTGTTTTAATTTGTTTTTGGTCTAAAATGGTCTATACCATCTTTCCCGTTTAGACGCATGTATGCTATATATATATATATATATATATATATATATAATATATATATATATATATATATATGGTGTTGGTGGTGAACTCTTATGTGGGGGGAGAAGATAGACAGACAGACAGACACAAAAACAGACTCGCCCTTTATGTAAGAGATAGCCGAGTCGGTAGTGTACAGTTAGTGTTGGGTTCGGGACAGGTTAACTGTTTGTACTTGTGTATGGTCTGCAGTGCACTGCGCAAGTACCGGGTAAAAAATACACGCGTCGGTGGGTGCCTGCTCGAATGCGGGAATCTTGACGAATCGATTCCCGCAGCTGTCAAACTTTCTTATTTTTTGTTTTTTGGTCATCCGGTGTCTAGAATCAGCCCAAGTGGGTTACACCTTACCCTTTCCAATTGGCTGAAATTTTGGTTTCTGGGCCGGGTAATTGTCGGGCTGAGAAAAGGCTGAATTTGTAAAATTTCAGCTCCGTACGCGACAAACGGTTTCGCGGCTACCGCCACGCCCTTTTTGTTGGCGGATTTTGGCCAGAAGATGCGGCGCACCCCGTGCAATTTTGCAAGATGGGTCATACTCTCTGCGCTAACTACTAGCAAATTGGGTTGATATTGTTCTTTGCGAAAGCAACTTGCGATGAAGGCACATCCAGAATCTTCATCTATTTGTATGATAGGAGCAGTATAATGTTGAGTGGACCTTTTTGACCTTTACTTTGACCTTAAAGTTTGACCCTGTGGATCAGCGTAACTTGAGGATGAACTCATTGAAATTATACCTCACATGTTTTTCTACATAATATTACAAAAATTAGGAGATATTAAGGTATTTTTTTGGTGTTTGCTTTCAGCCTCCTTCTCGAAAGTTGGCAAAGTGGTGGCAATAACACCGTGATTCCTATGCAACTACTGACTAGTATATATGCTTTAGCACATATTCGCTATACCATTTCGAATCTATTTTCAATATCAAGTTAAGTCCAAACATCGGCTTTGCTGTTTACATAACCTGATTAGAAATGACAGGTGGCAATAACATTCTAAAGAGCTATTCAGTCTATATGAAAAATCATTATATTACATGTTTTCACGATGTATCAGATTGACATTGATCATCAATATCAAGTCCGATGCCACACGTTGAAATTCCTTGCAGCATCGTTATCTGACGGATAACAGTACTTTTCTGGAAGAGGATGGGATGTGAAGGAAGATGGGGGCGGCTTGGTTGATTGTACACAGAGATAGTCGATTCTCTGTAACCCATCAATGACCCAACCAAAACAGCCAGAGAGAAACGAGTCACTCAAACCCCCAAACCTCCACCATGGCAACTCCACGGAAAGCCGTTAAAGAAGCAACCAATTTTTCCTGTATTTCTGATGGCACAGACTCACCCACAACCGAAACAACTGGTAAATCCCCACCAGGGACTCATAGCACACTACAACCCGCACCCCTTTGTTATGACTATCATACACAGGAGAAGTAAGATAACGCCGTAAATAGCCGGACAGCCGCGCTGTAAGGGGACGCGCATCCGGCTGCGGCTGTGACAGATCGGGTGTACACTGGCACCGCTACACTGTACAGCGATTTGGGAGACTTCCGAAAATTGTGTTGGTGGATTGCGGCGGAGTGAGTCTGATTTAAACTGTCCTACTTACGATGGCTGTATGTTCTACTGTACATATTTTGGGGGGGCTGTACATCAAATCTCAGACACACAGACTACAGAGACAACAGCGATAAGGTGTGAAGGGACCTGCTTGAAAAACAATCGGCGAAATACGAAGTAGACATAACTGTTATAACAAAAGCAGCGCCGCCAGTGTTTCAGGCAGAATGTTGACATTTTTTGTTTGTTTTTTGTCTTTTTTATAGAGCCGAACAAACGGTTTTCTTGTAACTCCGAGTTATCAGTTACAAATCCCGTTTCCGTGTACTCAGTGGGTCGATCGCTTGTCTGGTAAAGATTTTGTTGTTTTTTTTGGCGCTATTTGGATTGCAAACTGACGAGTCCTTTCATTAAACATAGTCTATATCTGATTTATGTATTATTATATTGCATTTTCTTGTTCTCTCTTTATATGTATTTTTATATTGTTGTAGATGCTAGCCCTGTGATATTGCGTTTGGTTATGACTGTGGAACAAAGTCGGGTGGTATGGAGTGTTGTTTTTTTATTCGCCTTTGAATAGTGTTTCACATGTTCAAACCCTGTCCTTTAACTCTGAAGCTGCTATGAGGAGTTACAGTCCTCTGGGTCAGGTGTGCACGTTTGGAAAATGTTGGATAGCCGAGGGATATTCTCCGACGCAGAAAATCGCATTTATTCCGTCCGGCTGTCAGGAAGATGCTGTCCATTGATGATTGCGGCGCTGCAGGCCTATACGTTCGGTACCTGTCGTTGGAGCAGGTCCCTCCGCTATACCGGTTCAGGCCACTCTTGCCAGTGTGATGGTTGGCAAAGTGAAGTTGCTGAGACAGTAAGCTGGGGTGTTGGAATGCGAACGTAGAACCAGATACCATGCTGTGCCAATCTCTGAAATAAAGGAACAAATCTTTGTCGTGCTGGTGTCGTGTTATGTACCTGTACTGTTCCGTCGGATTGGCATGCGGTGGAGGAAATTTCGGTAGTGTGGTGACTACACGATCAATTTTATTGTGTTCGACCCTCATGGGATGCTAGTCCTATATGGTCAATTCAGCAATGGCCGATTGGAAACAGATCGAATGCTGTTTGGGTTAGCATGTAACGATATATGTGGTGGTGTGTTTTATCATATCAACACTCCCAGTCTCTTACATCGGTCCTCGTTCGCAGAAAGAGTACTTTGGATCTCAGAAAACGAGTGCTGCGATGGATTTTCAAGTGGTGCATCGGGACTTGATCGATTGTCCATGACTGCAATGAATATTGATAATATGAAGAAGCATGGTAATATAAATGGATTTTTCAGTTAGCCTGAATAGTCATTTAGAATGTTATTGCCACCTGTCATTCTCAATCAGGTTATGTACAGCAAAGCCAATGTTTGGGATTAACTTGATATCCGAAATAGATTGAAATGGTATACATATGTGCCTACATATATACAGTATTGCATAGGAATAGGTGTTATTGCACCTACTATGCAAACTTTGAGAAGAGCTGGAAAGCAAACAAAAAATATTATATCTCTAATTTTTGTATATTATGTAGAAAACATGTTGAGGTATAATTTTCAATGAAGTTCATCTCAAGGTTACGTGATCCACAGGGTCAAATTCAAGGTCAAAGTAAAGGTCAAAAGGTCATCAAACTTCATACTGCTCCTATATAACAAATAATGACAGATTTAGATTTCCTATGCAATTAGCTTTCCAAAGACACCAATATCAACCAATTTGGCCTAGTAGTTACAGAGATATGACCATTTGAAAATTGACGGGTGCGTCCATTTTGGCCAAAATCGCCAAAAAAGGGCGTGGCGTAGCGCGAAAACCGTTTGTCCGACGGAGCTGAAATTTGAAATTTCAGCTTTTTCAGCCGAAATTACCCTATAAACCAAATTTCAGCCAATTTGAAGGAGGTCAGGTGTAAATTTCCATTTTTTTGGGGTGATTTGACACGGAATGACCCTGTGGTGGAATTTACTCGGGGCGGAGGTAATTTAAACGGGGCGCAACGATTGAAACAGGGGGGAGTTTTCCCAAACGGTGCGTGCGCCCCGTTTGCGCAACGTAGGGAGAACCCTGGCATATATACATATCATATTCTTTGAAAGTGTAAAATTATGCTTCATGTGTGCTTTATGTAATGGTGGTTAGGGCACCTATGCTGCCTTACATAGCTATTAACAGAACAGCGTGCAATTCATGCTGTATAATAAAATAATACAGTCAACCTCGCTTAATTCGTCATAACTTTATTCGTAGAATACCTAATTTATACAATAACATGCGGTCCAAATATTTCTCTTCTTTATTCCCTTTAATTTCCATTCTATAATTCGTATTCTGTCATTTGTAAGTCGTACAAAATTCTCTGGTCCAATTAAATTAACATTATTCAATTCAAAATGACACGTGTAATTCGTAGGGGATGTTTGTTTATGCAAGCAACATTTTTTCTTTGAGAATATTTATAAACACTGCCACTCGCTCAACAATTAAAATCAATAAGCCAGTTTGTAGTTACGCATTGAGCATGCACGAGATTCTGTGTGATAGCAAGTGGCACCGTACTTACTGTATTTGTCCAAGTTTGAAATAAAATCAAATTTAACCCTATAATGCCCACACCTATGTGTTATTGCAGTAAAAATATAATCTCTTGGCATTAAGTTCCCTGTTATATCAGAATATGATTTTTGACACTCGTTTTTTTTTCAGTTGACCTTGACCTTGGTTTTGGCAATGTATCATATCTGATACAATGGACATTAGAGGACACCACATGGAAACGTTCAAATAACAAACAATGACAAAAACAATTATCATTCCTGAACTATAGTAATATATAATTTCCCTAAACAGTTATAAAACAAATCTTTGTGGTTTTAGCTGATTTTGGGGGTTTCACGTTTCACATTCTGACAAAATATGAAGTGTGTAAGATGAGTTCTGGTTTGTTCTGATCTCAGTTTGGTGCTGGTACTTGAACTAGGGGTGAACTATTTGTTGAAGATTGTGATAATGCGTAGCAGTGATAATGCGTAGCAGGTACAGATTTAGACTCACGAATTCATATTTCGTCTTCATATTCCGTCACAATATGAAACCCACTATGTCAGCATGTCAACAACTACTAGATCTTGATCGGTAGTCTAGTGCCTGTGAAAGGCAGCAAAGCAATTGCGGTCCTTATTTAGGCAAAGCCAAACTTTGCACTTTGTGCACCGCAAATAGGTGAAAGCAGCATTCCCAGGGCATTGGAAGCACCTCTGCCTTTTCTCATTCCATTCAGGCAGATGGTCAAGTCCGTCTCTTCTAGCATCCTCCACGGGTTGTGTTTGCACCGAGTGCCGTCTCTTGGGAACAGGAGGGGATCCTGATGCTGGCCTTCCCCGAGCCCTTTTACCGGCATCAGTGAGGGCAGATGCAACTCTCGCTTGGAATCGGCGCAGTGGCATCGTTTTGCAGTTAGGGAGTTCCCTCTGGTGTCGTCGATAAATTAGCCATGCATTCACAACTGCAATGGTGATTGTATGCCACCATATGTAGATGTACCAGCGCCTACACCGAATGGTTGGCTTATACAGGCTACAGAGCATGTCCAACAGATCCACTCCCCCCATGAATTTATTGTACATCTTGATGATGTGTGGACGTGGAACTTGGACATGGGTCTTCTTGCTTCGGTCATAACGTCGAGCGGTATCCACAGGATCACTTCCAACAAATGAAGAAACGAGGTTGACTACTTTGTTGTCCAACCATCGAACTGCAACAATGTTCCTTGTGCGTTCAACCCAGCACTCAAATGTACCACGATCCTTTTTTCTCAGTTCCTTCTCACCCATAATTGGACAATCCTTGAGCCTGTTGGCGCGTATAGTACCGATGTACAAGAAACCCATCCCTCGAAGCCTGTCAATGAGTGGTAGTCCCGTAAAGAAATTATCAGCGAATATCTTGTAGTTCTTATTTTGAGGCAGGGATGACACAAGTTTCAACACAACATCACCCCCCATGCCACATTCACTTGGCTTTTCGCCGTTTGGGTTCTTGCCTTGATAAATGTCAAAGTCATAGAGGAATCCCGTAATTCCACACCGGCCCCAAAGTTTGAAACCCCACTTATGAGGTTTTCCAGGCATATATTGCCGAAGCAGTGATCGCCCCTTGAAAGCCACCATTATTTCATCTACTGAGTTGCATTCCTCCGGGGTAACCTGCAGGAAGGTTTTTCGAAGATCGTCGGTCCACGGTCTGAGCTTCCATACTCGATCGGCCTTTCTATCTGCCTCGGACATACTGTCATTGTCGACAAAGTGGAAAACTGTGCTGAGTTTTTCAAAGCGAGTGCGTGACATCACTTCGGCTACTAATGGATATCGTGTATCCTCTTCCCAGTAAGACCTCACGTTCGGCATTTGGACTAACCCCATCCGCAGATAAATGCCAAGTACTTGCTCAATTTCCTTTTTTGACGTTTGGACACTACGCTGATCTTTACTCACGCTGTACAGGTTCGTTTGATAGGCCATCTTATCGAGCATCTCGTCCGAGACGAACAACTTGAAGTAGTTGTATGGCGTCATGCTATCATCTGCTGGTGGCTGAAGGTCAGGTGGATCAAACGAGGCGTCTGGTGGTGTAAATGCAGCCTTATGCCAACGATATCCACGAACTGGTTGCTTGGTAGCGGTAGTGGTGGTTGCAGCAGTAGCGGTGGTTTTAGCGGTCACCAAATTAGCCAGGGGTTCATCATCATCTGAACTAAAATCGTCATCATTTTCACTATCTTCCTGATCGCTACCATCTTTCGGAAGTTCGTACTCCTCATCGTCGCTGTCGTCACTCTCAAATTCAATGTCGCTGGTGTTTGGATCCTGCAACTGCGATACGACATCCTGCAATGACAACTTCTGCTTTCGACTCATCTGAAATGAGAAAAAAAATTAAAAAAAATTATTTCAATGACCTTATATTTTCCATTATATCATATCTGATACAACAAAATGACCATAGGGTAAACATAGTAATCATGGTTCATGAATAACACCGGTTTCTACAGAATGTCCACTGAAAATGACTAAGATATAGGCCTATGTCAACATGTGGTCAATGGACGTCTATTTCCCATTGTATCACATATGATACAGCGACATGACTCATCCCCTGCTGAGATAGAAATGATGCACTCACTCTAACTATGTTTGTGTTGGTTTTTCCTATGAGTATCATAGATTTATTATAATAACTTCATCTTTTATTATACTCACCTTTACAGCTTGAAATTTTAGTGAAAAGTCGAATGAAAATCACGCATGCGCAGTTCATGGGAGGCCACCATGTTTGTAACCTGATACCTAGGAACCTGAAAGTGTTTTTTCCTAACAGATGGCAGCACTAGTGTATCACATCTGATACACTTGGCATTTTAGGTCTATATATCTGGTATCTGGAGTTCAGTGGGAGGGGGTGAGTTCAGTGGGAGTGGGGTGATCATATATGATACATATGGCATTATAGGGTAACCAAGATTTGCTCAATATAGAATGTGTGTAAACTTCAATATAATTATCTTTATACATGTAGAACACATACATGTTATTTTACATCGCTTCTGTATAACATGCATGCATATTATGTAGCATACGGCATGTGCGCACAAGCGAACGCGCGATCCAGCTGTTCAGCTATGTACAAATAACTTTGTAAAAACTTTCATTCATAGATCGTTGTTTACACGAATTATCAATCTATTTTGTGGTTTTTACGGATTAAATAGAATTCGTGGAAAATATGAATTAGGTCTAATTCGTTGATTACGTAATTTGTAGAAAATGACGTGGTCTCGTCTAATACGAATTAAACGAGGTTGACTGTATTATCATTATAATATGCAAACCTTTTTAAATGTTGTGCAATAACAGTAATGCTCAGAATATATAAAATACTTATACAACAAATTCCAATCAATCAGTTTATTACAAATTAAACAGCACAATGCAATCATAACTACTTCAAAAATACTACCAAAGTTTTAAACAGTTTCATACAAGATTAGTATTTGAACATTGCTTCTTAGGGTTAGGGTTAGGGTTGCTTTCAACATTGCTTCTTATTACAGTCTCACACTGTGAATTTGATATTGAATATTTGAAATACAGTGTTGTCAATCTGACCAAAACTTATCCAACCAAAAAGATCTCTCATTCTTTGCCTGCTGATATCACTGGCTACGACATGCATTGCATATCCAGCGTTTAGAATGCGGTTGTTGTTTTTTGCGAAGGCAAGCTAGGTGATGCCAGTTTAGGCAGCCATCGCAACAGAGTGATATTTCTTCCTCATCGTCCTGAAAATATTTAGAACATATTGGGCATGCATATTGTGGGTTACCTTTCTTCTGTTTTAATACATCATCTACCACTAGCCAAGCATCTACTGTGAAGAACAATTTAACGCTGAGAACATCTACGTTCTCATTCAGAATGGCACTGGGTATATTTTCTGGTTTGGTTTCCACTGCGCTCTCGTCTAGTAGAAGATGTCCTCTCAGGGCCCTTTTCAGCTGCATCCGCCCCAACCAGCCAGTTTAGGATAACTGAAACAGAAATAACAAAATAAAATGAATGTGTCCCCATGGTTATGTGAACTTATCTTACTTTATACATGCTATATATTGATTGTCCAATTATCTGATTATAAAAAAATCAAATATTTTATTTATACTGAATTCACAGTTCTGAAGACACCATTGCTAAGTCATGAAGTTCTTTTAAAAGATAAAGACTGAAAAGGTGTAGCCCGCATTGGCTCCAGAGCTATGCTAATCAATCTTTGCTATCAAATTTTACTATGAGCACAGGACACACCACCTGCTTTTGCCTCATTAGATGGTCAAAAGTCATGAAAAAGTCATCTTTAGTTATCAGTAAGAGATTCTGATGGCTTCTAGGACAACCTATTTACACAAGTAGGCTGCGGTGACATACTTACTTTTGCTCTTCTCTTGGGAGTGCTTCTTGCTGATCAACTTTCCATGCTTTTGGCTCTTTCTTGAGAGACCAGCCACTGTCAGTTGTGCTCCTTTAGGGCGACCCCTTCTCTTTATCCTTGGTGGCAGCTGAATCTCAGTCAGTACTAAACAAGGCAGATACACAATATATGTACCTTATTAACATAAATTCATATTTTTTCACAGACAAATTGTCTTTTCTTGACATTTTCCTGAAACTGCAGCTGTGAAATTACTGCAGTATTTATATTACATACCGCGCTATATCCCAGTACGAAGATTTTCACTGTACCCAACTTTTTTTTCTCAATCAACGTGAGAATGATTGGCCAATTTTTTCCCGCATGATCATTCGTCACATGAATTCTCTTTAAGTTTAACGGCTTAATACTAACCTCCCAAAGAAGTGTTGCCGATGCCCTGCGCTGCCGTCGAACTGCTGGTGCCGGGGATGTCGTCGTGTGGTTCCACGTTGCCGATGCCCTGGGCTGCCGTCGAACTGTTGGTGCCGGGGATGTCGTCGTGTGGTTCCACGTTGCCGATGCCCTGGGCTGCCGTCGAACTGCTGGTGCCTAGGATGTCGTCGTGTGGTTCCACTTTGCCGATGCCCTGGGCTGCCGTCGAACTGCTTGTGCCGGGGATGTCGTCGTATCGTTCCACGTTGCCGATGCCCTGGGCTGCCGTCGAACTGCTGGTGCCGGGGATGTCATGGTACAGGCCCTCCTGGTAAGCGCGTGTTTGCATGTAAACACCGTTGGGGCGTATGGTCAAGCTCCGGCAAAAAGATTTATGAAACATTCAGGACATGTTCCTAAGTTTGTTCCAGCTTCTGTCACGATAAGATCTGACCACCTTTGACCAGAATTATCATTTCCATTGAAAAGGACAGATGCTAATACTGCTTTGAAATTCTCCTAGTGGGCACTCAGACAAACAGTGAAGGCCAAGTTTGTTTGTGATTTTCAAGAGGCTTTTCCTGTATTTTTATCTGTGATGGAACTTGTGGTGGTTTCGGATGCCTTGAACGGTTACAATCTGTTTTCAGTTTGTTGTCCTTGTTTGAGAAACAGCTCGCTGACTGGGACACAATAGAATGCCTTATCCAGCGTCCTGTGACTATGCAAGGGGTCAGCTGCAGGCATCGCCTAAATCATATCTCACAGCAAAACAGTGTTTCGTCACGGAAGTGTTAATCGCCACTGCTGGAGCCCACAACTGCATGAAATCTAAACCGTAAGAATTGAGTAGGTGCCGCTGGTGATCTGAGATGCAAACAGCTCCACCAGCATCTTCGTTTCCTCCACAGTCAAACTATGATGCTTTCTCTAAGCTGCTTTTGAAAAGTTTTAAAAGCATATGGTGTCAGGAGATCCCATGTAGACTTCATTGCTGGAGAGTTACTTAAACACAATGACTTGCAACGTAAAGGAAAAGTAGATGACCTGCTTTTATTCTAATTGCGGATTTATGCAACTCGTACAATAGGATACTAGTTTTAATATTGTTGATTTGTTACTTGATGGTTAGTTTATTGTTACCGGAGACAGCATCGATGCTTATTTTCAGTATGGTTTGTTCTGTCCAGGCACAAAAGCCATACTCCAAAAATTACGATTGGCAATCTATGGAGCCGTACGGTCATCTTTGCTGTAGCAATAGTGCTTAAGCTTACTTTATTGGTTCATTGCATATCACATTACGTTAAATTTATGGAAAATCATAAATTTGAAATTAACAGCACGATTCCCCACAATTCGACTGCTCACAAGAACATACTCGCAACCTACTAGGGAGGAACTTATCGCATTTATACTATATTAATGGACTCTTCCATTAATACTAACACTTTTGTACACTTTCAGTGCTCAGGTCTTTTTTCCCAACAGACGGATGGAACTGAAAGTGCAGAACATGCAAATCTGTGAATAATCTGGCTGATTCCAACTGTTTTTTTTTAGTGGATTACAGCTTTCAATTCCTGGTTGACAGTATACTCTCCACCGCATTGACGGATTTGGTCTTTTGTCTTCTCTCTTTTATTAGTGTTGGTCATGTAGATTGAAAGACTCACAGAGGCTTCCATTAGGGTCTTCAGGACAAGACCTTTTGAAAATTTAAATCCCAACCGTGGTGCAAGATTCGCGGATTCGAGTGCCCAACACCACTCCTTGTTGAAATAGTGTATCACACCATGCAAGAGAATATACCGAATATTATAACACGGCCAAGTAACGAAAATGATTACAGGCATTAAAGAACTCTGTGGTCTCATGCCAATAGAGTCACTTGAAAGACGTACACACGGAACCATGGTTCATTAGCGTTTGCGACTATCCGTGGTGGTTTTCAGGTTGCCTCCACGTTCAAACAACAGTGGCTAGCCTGTAGGATTGGCTTTGTCCGTGTGACAAGATATGGCCACCTGTTGGGCGGCAGGAGTAAGCATAATATAAGGATCCTATATTATATCCTATAATGTATATCATACACATAATATAAGTATTATCCTATCATATAATACACGTATATATACACGTATTATATACACAATATATACCACTATATATATACACATATAATATATATCCTTATTATATTAATATCATATATTACCGAATTTAAAATTGTATAATTCATCTACACATCAACGCTTACGAAATTTGAAGCGTGCCATGACACCGGCGCGACCTAGTTGCTGCCAACCACTAGAAAAAATTGCGGGTATTTGGACAATATTATTTTGCACGTTACAGTTTACGATGGGCCTAATCACAAAAGTGGCAATTTATTTATACGGGTAAATGGCTATTAACCGACACGATATTATTTTAAGAGCAAATTCATCCATATTACAATACGTAAACCCATACAGCTGCATCATCTTGCCCTTCGCCAGAATGACCTAAACTATCAAAAACGCCGATCAATTAGTGGTAGGACCCACATTAATCAAAGTTTCATTACACTTGCTTCTGGCTGTCACTTCCAATTAAGAATGATTGAATCATAGCTTTTGGCAGAAAATAAATGAACTTGGCAGAAATCAAGACAGCAATCTGGAATGGTGAACCATTTTGCGTTTCAGTTTGTATAAACTTACATCTCGTTGTGCTGGAGTTATATTCCGCGATTTTATCTGTGGCTAGTTTCGCCGTCGGAAAACGTGCGGAGTGTGTGGTGAGACAGATCAAGAGCTGAGGATGCCAGGCATCTTCCTGGATCAATGACGTCCCTCTCACTGCCATGTCTTTGTCGAGCCATCACCACTTCACACTCCTTCCCTACTGCTATTTTTTTTCCTTAAATATTCATCATCCATGTTCTCCAAAGTGAGTCGATCTTCAGCTTGTACTAGCCTAATAGGCCACTATCTCCACTTACAACATAATAAATAAGTAAAATAAGTTTTAACGTTTGATGGCAATTTTTTTTTTAAAATTTTGAGGCAAACCAATTTTTTTCACATTATTACGGAGGAACTTGTGGCAAAAGTTGTATAATTCAAAACCTTTTGTAGTTTCGCAAGAATATGCGGCAAGTAACCATTTAACATAAAATTTAGAATTTTCACGTTGATCATGTGAATCAACCTAGAATAATTTAAACAAATATGTACTAAGCGACATTACAATATATTTTTTTTTAAATCCATATGAGCCGTCACATTTATGCCTGTATTTTCTCTTCGCTTGTACTGTATTCTTAATATATGCCTAAGAAAAATAGGGCTTGCTGAGCAGTGATTTCTTGCAACTTTACTTTAGTAAAATAAATAAGACACTGCTTACATGGCGTAATAAATAATGTTCACCATTTCCATAAATGGCCATACAGAACAAAAAACAGATGGCATATTCTACATACTCGTTCACTTGTATGCTGGCATCGATCGAACAGGACTTCGAGGAAAAGTCCTTAAAAAGGTCTTCTTCATTTCTTATCAGTTTTTGGAAGAAGAGCCGTATACTGCCCTCCAAAAAGGATGCTCTAACTGTTGCTGCTCCTGAAAAAGAGTTTGACCTGAACTATTATACCAGCAGTCTGCACCAAAAACCTTTGAAGCCAGTCCAGCAATCAGAATACACTTCATTAATGATAACAGCCCTCCATAGACAATCTGCCAACGAGTGTCGGGTCAATAATAAAGTGTAAACGCCCTCCAAAATCATGTTATTGTTATATTATATCAAATTTGTCACATGACGTAAAATTTGGAAATCTATTAGGGTCTTACAATTCATTGTCAGTTAATGCATCATTATATAATAGTTGCGTTTCACCTAATGATTTGTACTGTAACTTAAACTGCTTTTTTTTGCATAAAATACTAGCCTAATGTTAATGCAATATCTCGTCCTTTAACATGCATTTGTTTGGCAATTTAGCAACCATGTAATTTACACCCTGGTATTCTTGTTATTATATTTATACTAATATTTGTTATTAAAGCAAGGCATTTTGCATTTTGTCATTGCCAGTATATATATATATATATATTATATTTGTTATGTATTAAATTGTAGTGTACGTATTTTCCTCCAAAAAATCCTAACGTATTCTCTGGAAAATTGATACAAGACATCAGGAATTCCCACTCGGTCTAGCTTTGTCTTTTTGTAAACGTATTCGGTGTGTATTCCAGTACCGTTTAAATTGGTCGAGGCTGTGCTGGATTACTGGCAAAAAAACAAAATGCCAAACAACACCTAGGTCAAGAAAAAGATTTTGTACAGTTCAATTATTTCTGCTTTGTTTTGTAAGTGAGAGCTATTAGTCCACAATATAGGTCTATAAATTGGAAACGAATTGAAATGTTTTGGTTTACTGCTCTGTGCTCTACATTTTGTAGGATGATAAATCTTGTTCCAGAACGGATTAAATTGTCGTCACTACGCATAACAGTAAAGGGAGGCGCCATTTAATTGACATGGTATTGGCTTGCATAGATGATGTGAGATAGCGTAGGACAAGAGGCAAGAAATGAGTGTGCAAGTTAATGTAGCAAAGTACAGTACAGAATTTAGTACCAATACTCTCACAAGCTAGCCGTCTTAAAAACTCGCCTGTCGGTGTTGTCACATGGGTCATAATGTCCCTTCTCTTTCAGCATCTGTCAACACATGATAAGCAGGATACGTTACATATAGCACACCCTTAAAATTATTTTATAAAAGCACACAATAGGTCAAGTTTACAAACAAGTTGCCCGCGAGCGACAGCGCTCATGCTACGTCTACTGCGGTGACGTTCTGTGGTGGAGTGGTTGGGATTCGTAGTAAATCTGAGTCCCAAATGTGTTCACTCGCGCCGAAACAGTTGGAATGTAGCACAGGGATGGTATCAGGCAAACCTTCTCAAAGGAATCTTCGTTGGATCGTTATGAAATTGCCAACGAAGATGGCGGGTACGTTTAAAGGAGAAAGTTTACGTCTAGGTTCTAGAGTTATTTGTTCAGCTAATCTGGGTTATAATTCGTCTATTCACAAAAAGTTGTCATGGTTCATATCACCATATTAGAAATATTATTAAGAGAATGTTTAAAAAACTAACGACTAAATTGATTACAACGACGGTGGCGCACTCAAAGCGCACAGATTCTGATAATTGCGCAAACCATCTTCGCAGCCAAGGGCTACAGACGAAGTGTTTCTATTTATTCTTTTAAAAGCAAAAAGGATGAGGTAACTCTTATAAACGGACATGATAGTTTTAAGTTATAATATGGATAATTTGCCCTAAAATTAATTCGTTTGTTAAATATGCATTAAGGTATAAAATATAATTGCGCTTTTGTAGATTCGCGCCTCGTCTGTAACGTTTGCAAAATAAATTGTCATATACGCAACTTTTTTCGGGTGCAGCAGCGGCGCGGGGTGTCATGGGTGCCGTCAAAGTTTCGTAGGTTGATGTGTGTAATTAATTTAACAATTAAGGATTTAGGTATCTGGTAACAAAATACGTGTGGGTATAGATGATTTTGTTATACACGTAAGTACAGGTTGTTGCCGTAGAAATGTAGAGCTAAACTGTCCCTTTTGAAGTGTGCTTAAGATTAAAGACAGGATAGGGCTCCATGATACATAGTAGCTAACAACTATTTGCAAGACAGAATGGTAAGAACTCATCCATTTACATACGGCCAAAGCCTACGAGCTGAAATAGAAAGCTGTCCACCAGTAAAACTAATTAACCACAGGCAAAAACGTACGCACAGTACTATCCCTACCAACATGCCACTGGCAGTAGCCACTGCCTGGCAAGTGGCATAAGTTACATGTAACACCTGACAGTACAAGATGCCATAGACAGTATACGATTTAGAGGAGCAATAAACCTTCTTGCAACCCGAAATTTAGCTTTTGAAATTTTCACTCGGCACTTGTAGCCCCATACATCCAGCGATGTATAGGATTTACTAGCAAAACCGGCAGTCAAATCTTTCTAACAGTAAACAAATTTATCCATGTTTAACACCGCTCTTGAGTCAAAAAGGTTATCCGACACTTACTCTCGCATGTCAGCAGAAAGTATATTTCATGGTTGGTCCTTATCAATAAAGGCCATAAAGATGCTAGGTCACCGCTGAACACAAAAAAAGTTTTCAAATCGCTCCGTCAGACCGATGTCCCAGAAAAATTGTCCTAATTCCTGGCCCTGTGCCCCATTGACCTTGCCTTCAATTTCGGCACAACGTGATGGCTTTCCGTACCACATGATGCTATAACACCGACCGACGATGCACGAGCTAGTCGAAGCTGTTTGATTTGTGCCGCAATTCTGCATTTCCTCCCTATCAGCCTTAAAGGGCACGTACCTCTAAGATTTTCTGCATACAACTGTACTTACTGGATAAGCAAACTCGTCTATACCACCATGTATGTTGTCACCAGATACTTAATTAATATATTTACACTCAACGCTACAGAAATTTGAACGGCGCCATACACCGCCCCGCGACGTAGCAGCCGACCCTGAAAAGTGCGATTTGGCATTTTATTTTTGCCAGGTAAATGACCGAGGGCTAATCACAAAAGTGCAATTATATTTGGTACTAAATGCTATTAACCAGAAGCGATATTCCATTTTAGGGCAACATTTACTCCATATTATAACGAAATATCATGTCGTTTATAAGATATTACAATCCTTTTGCTTTTAAATGAATAAATAAGAAATACCCTCGGTCTGTAGCCCTTGGCTGAAAAGTGGTTTTGCGCAACTTCTCAGATCGTGCGCTTTGAATGGCGCCACCGTCGTTGTAATCAAACTGTAGTCGTTAGTTTTAAAACATTTTTTTTAAATATTTCTAATGGTGATTGAACCATGAAACTTTTTATGTAGCGCAATTATAACCTAAATTAGCTGAAAATAACCCTAGAACCTAGAGGCTACTGTTCCTTTAAGTTAAGGAGGGAATGTTCCCCCTTCTTTTACACCTCTTGACCTTTGACCTTTGACCCCCCAGCTTGGACATCCCAACTCGTTTTCGGATTACCCCCCCACGTCCCGAATATCGTAAACCGTACGTCGAGCGGTTAAGATTTGTGCCCAACTGTTGACGGACGCACGGACGGACGGACAATCATGCGATTCTACAAGCTGCATCTACTACGTCAGATGAGCTAAAAATTGTAAAGATTTTTTTAAAAAGCTAAATGAATATTTAAAAAAAGATGCAAAATAGTGTACATATTTCTCATCTACACGAGTGCATTTAATCAGTCAAAAGTAAGTCACGTTATATTTAGCACGCTTTAGAAATCCATTTTAAACTTTTTTTGTGTTGGGTTCTTTTCATAATCTAGGTCTACCATTTTAGAGATAATTAAAAATTCTCGGGTACAATTAAGAATTTCTTGCTTGGGCTACCATCTAAACAAGCCCATACATCTGCTCTTGCCCATATTTGCAGTATAGAGCTACTTGCACCTCCAGTTATAGACACTGGATGAGGTAGTTATGGCAGTATGGTTGAAAACAGACATTTTACTGTTCAGTTGTGCTAGCTTCTATTTCTTGCAAAAAACTGGGTGTTGTTTACCGTTAGTATAGCAAGTTGATTTTATACTGTAATCTTTCAATTTGTAACATATTTATTTTTGCAACTCTAATCTGAAGCTGTAGTGTTCAACTTACCTTAAAACAGTCGCGGAAATATTCACCACTACCCTCTCGGTAGTCCCGCCACCATCTCTCCACAACCTGTGTTTTATGTGAAACAAAATATCAATCTCATATTGTGGTCACAAAATGTTTGAACAGTTTTTAATTTTCAGACTTTCAACACATACATTTTTGACAAGTTAATAATTATGTGAAAAATTATTTGTAGTTTTTTTGTCCAACCTTTGTACCACTTGTATAAATATGCATAGGTCTTGTAAAAATTGATCTCATGGACATTTGTTTTCCATATGGCTTCTACACCCGGATATATACTTACTTGATTTGAAGTAGATGCTCCATAAACATGAGCATTTTTCCCACTAAATTTATCACTGTGGTCAGCCCGAAGCAGCATTTGTGCTGTGCCTAGCATTCCATTTTCACTGCCACGGTCGGAACGTGTTCTGCATGGCAAAACTGCAACAGTGTCACAACCTAATGTTAACATCCTACTAGGCCTACTTGATGAAATACAAAGGTTACAGTAATGGTTACATTTAAATGGTTATTTTGTGAAACAATATTCTTCGGTAAACAAGAGCCGCATAGCGACTGGGCTCATCGGGGGTCTGTTGCTACGGTTATAAACGTAAAATTTCAGTCGTGCGTAGTGACACATTTGTTAGGCGCAGATATGCAGATACGCAGTTGCGTACACATCATTGTTAGGACACGCCCACTATCCTCCCCCATGCGATTTTGGTTTATTTTATTAAATGATACTAAATTGCCTTTCACTTCGAATTTGTGTCATAGATTCACAGCTATCTATTTTTATCTATGCCACAGATCACACGCCATTTTCCACACGCCACAGATCGATGCATTTTGCATGCGCACACGCTCATCTAACGTCTACTGCGGTGACTCTGTGGTGGAGTGGTGGGATTCTAGTAAACCCTGTTAGTCCCAAATGTATTCACATACACGCCGAAACAATTACAGACTGTGCGCTGTCAGGGCTAAATGTACGACGAACGTAAAATGGCAACAAAGCCAAACTAAAAATGGCAGCTTCCTACAAGTCACGCTGCAACAAGCCGGTGTAACATACGGTCGTAGTCACGACTCCTACCGCCATCTATCGGTGAGACAGAAAAGTAGTGTTTTTTATTCTAATTGCTGATTTAAGCAACCTAGTACAATAGTGATACTAGTTTAATATTGTTGTTTGTTACCGATGTTAGTTTATTGTTACGAGGCAGGCCTCGATGCTTATTTTCATATATGGTTGTTTTGTCAGGCAACAAGAAGCCATACTGCAAAATTAACTTGCATGGGCCGTTTCGGTCATCTTTGAGCTGACAATGTGCTTAAGCTTATTTTTGGTTCATCGCATATCACATTACGTTAAATTTATGGGAAATCATAATGAAATTAACCACGATTCCCCACAATTACTCTCACAAGAACATAATTCGCGAACCCTAGGTTTCCATTTTCCTAACTATCCATTTATCTATATTATGGATCTTCATTGAACTAACCTTTTGTAACACTTTCAGTGCTCGGTGGTCTTTTTCCACAGACATGGACTGAAGTGCAGACATCAGATCTGTGAAGAACTGGCTGATTCCACTGTTTTTAGTGATTACAGCTTTCAATTTCTGGTTGAGACTCTCCACCCGGTTATTAGTGTTGGTCAGTAGATTGAAAGCTTCAGTCTTCAGACCTTCCACCCACTGGTGACGGATTGAGTGCCACTCCTTGTTGAAATAGTCTATCACCTGCAAAAATATTCTGAATTTATAAAACGACCAGTAGAAATGATTACAGGCATTAAAAGAACTGCTGTGGTCTATCCAATATGATCATTGTGTTACGTGAAACATTGAGTGTTATGTAGCAACAACTCATGAAAGTAGTCTACGCTGTTGGTTGGCATGAAACTTTCTAGAACTGTATAAACCCAAACATGGTTAAACAATCGCAGAATGTTAATTATAATAATTTTAAAGTACAAACTGTTCTAACGTGTTATTGGTTGATTAACATCAGGACTAATTTCAGACCACAATGTGAAGTTAGAAGAAGGAAATTGTACACCAATTTGCTTCTTTTAAAAATTGTACTTTTGCGTTGTCCGCCAATTTGAATACAGTGTAATTATGTTTAAGTTGGCTAATTACGTACTTAAGTCGGCCAATTATGTGATTAGTTAAATATGTACTTAAATCGCTTCGCGAAACAGTCATAATTACGGGAGTGATTTAATCATAATTAAAGTTAATCATGCTTCCTGAAACCAGCCCCAGTATATTAACCATGTGGCATCAATTTAAATGCTAACCTGTTTGGGAGCCGAATCCTGAAAAATGGTATGCAGCACCTGGTATTCTTCTTCACTTTTTGCGTAGGCCAGCTTTGTCAACATTTCACGGCAGGCCTGAAAAAGACAGTACAGCTTTTCTAAAAACTGAATCACCAGACACTTACTCTTCGCACATCAACGTTTTCATGGTCCTTTCAATGTATGAGTCATGAAAATGGTAGGTCAGCGCTGAAAGTTTTTACTCAGTACGTTAGACCATGTCCCCACAAAATGTCTGATATCTGACTTTTCCCACACTGCCCTTCGGCCTCTAATTTCGCACTGGTGATGGGTATCCTCCCCTCACTCTATATACCGAATATCAAGAGCATAGGTTTAGCTGCTGAGATTTGTGCCACAATTCTGTATTTCCACCTATACTTTAAAGGGATAGTAGACTCTAGGATTTTACTGCATACAACTGTACTTACTGTATAACAAATCGTCTATACCGACACGTATTTGTTACCAGATACCGAATTTAATTGTTATAATTCATTACACATCAACGCTACGAAATTTGAACGGTGCCATGACACCCGCAACCTGTGCTGCCACCAGAAAAAGTTGCGTATTTGACAATTTATTTTGCACGTTACAGACCGAGGGCTAATCACAAAATTGCAATTATATTTATACCTGAATGCTATTTAACCGAACGATATTCATTTTAGGGCAAATTTATCCATATTACAACTGGTCTACAAGCTGCATCTGACTTCGCCAGATGACCTAAAGCTCATCAAACCGATCCAAATTAGTGGTAGGCCAATTAATCAATTTCATTGACACTTGCTCTGGCTGTCTTCCAATCAAATGATCGATCATAACTTTGCAGAAATAAATGACTTGGCAGAAATCAAGCAGCAATCTGGAATGGTGCACATTTTGCTTTCAGTTTGTATAAACTTACATCTCGTTGTGCTGGAGTTATTCCCATTTTATCTGTGCTGATTTCCCGTCGGAACGTGCGGAGTGTGTGGAAGAGACAGATCAAGAGTGAGATGCCGGGCATCTCCTGGATCATGACGTCCCTCTCTACCATGTCTTTGTCGGCCATCACCACTTGCACTCCTTCCCAGCTGCTATTTTTCTCCTTAAATATTCTTATCATGTTCTCCAAAGTGAGTCGATCTTCATGTTGTACTAGCCATAGGGCCACTATCTCACTTACACCTAATAAAATAAGTAAAATAAGTTTTACTTAATTGCAATTTTTTTTTAAATTCTGAGCACCATTTTTTTACATTATTACGGAGAACTTGTGGCAAAAGTTGTGTTTCAACCTTTTGTAGTTTCCAAGTTTTTGTTGTCATGTGATACACCTAGAATATTTCACAAATAATTACTAAGCGTACATTACAATTTTTTTTTTAGATCCATTGAGCCGTTCACATTTACTGCCTGTATCTGCTTGACTGTATTCTTAAGATATCCTAAGAAAATAGGCTTGTAAGCAGTGATTCTTGACTTTACTTTAGTAAATAAATAAGAACATGCTTAACAATGTGTAAAAATAATTTACCATTTCCATCAATGGCCATCAGAACAAACAGTGGCATTCTAATATCGTTCAACTTGTATGTTGCATCGATCAACAGGACTTCAGGAAAGTCTTGAAAGGTCTTCTTCATTTCTTCAGTTTGGAAGAAGATGCCCGTAATTACCTGCCCCTCCAAAAGGATCTCTACTGTTGCTCCTGAAAAAGAGTTTGACGACTATTAACTAACACTAGCAGTCTGCACGAAAAAACTTTGAAGCCAGTCCAGCAATCCAGAATACACTGGCCCCAACCACTTTCCACTGTCCAACACCAGCCCATCGGCGGGCCCATTCATTGTCTACCGCATTACCGCATACACACACACAACGAATCAGGTCAGGCGCTATATTGCAAGAAGAGGACTGTCAACATTAGCTAGATCATGTTTATTAGGAGGGATGAGATAGAGGGGAGGAGGTAGATGAGGAGTACAACAACATGAGGTCGAATACATAAAAATACAATGAAATGAGTACATGGTGAAATGCAATGGTGTGATTAGCAAGTTGTTGCCCGTAGCGTAGAACTAAAACCAAAACCCCAGGCATTCAGCGCTGCTATGTAAATCATTTTCACATCTGAGTGTAACATGTGACATACATGTACTGTCTGTGTGCGTCTGCGTGTGCATGGGTGTGGCTATGTACAGCTGGGTGTGTGCTCTATCAGGCCATCATCATAGTCAAATGAATGTTTGAATTTCTCTCTTTTTTCACTGGCACGTTGGGCTTATAGTTTCACAACATGAACAGGCCCGATGGAAATTTCACTGGCCTCTGGCCTGCATGGGCCAGTGGCTAATTTTGCAGACTGTTACAGTTATAAAGGAATCCGACAATGGCTCCAATCTGGAATATAGTATGTACATATTTGCTACAAAAGAATTAGCGCTGATAGGAATGGCAAATCGAAACAAACACCTCCAACTTTCTACCTAATGTATCCCTTAATGTGTGAATATCTATTTTTGTAGTGTTTCAAAATAAATAAAACATAAAATACTAACCAGGCACTTCTGCATCAGCTCCAGTAATGTCTGCGCGTCATTAGATGGCTTGTTGGTTTGCCGCCAGGTTATGAAGGTCTTTGAGGAGGATGAGCTTTCCTGTCTCTTTGATCAGCCGATCTTGCAATAGTTTTTTGTTTGCATGAATGTCGAGCATTGTAACAACATTTTCCTTTTCAGTCGGTTCATTTTCCTCTGCCTGGGTAGGTGCTTGTATGCATTCTGTAAAAACACACACCATGGACTTTTATAATAAACTGTTCTATATTTTACGCAGTTAACCAATTTTATTAGTTTTTGAAAAATCGAATAAAGCACCACAAAATTAATGTCTTGATCAGGCATGAAAAACAATACA